AAGTTATTAACTATTTATAAGTCACAAATAATATAATATTGACTTTATGTAAATTATTTTTAAATCAATTCACCAAAGTTATTAACTATTTATAAGTCACATACTGATATCACATAGAGTAAGAGTTGGCATACAAAAATTTTGAATCTTTCTAATTTATCTACTTAAGGCAACACCAACTTGATTTTTTGTTTAATATAACCCCTCTCCGTTTAAAAATACCTATATAATATAAATAATACACATAATATACATAGAATGACCAATAAAAATTGAGTATTTAAGTCATGTAATTATTACTAGAGTTGTCTGCAAGTCACAATTTTGCATCTTCCAGAATTATTTAACTTTAATTATTACAAGATAAGCTATATATCTGATATATTAGATTACGATAGTATATTCTATTGCGATGATAAGTCACAACTCTAGTTGTGCTATAAAAAAGATCATAATTAATATTTGCAGCTAATCGTTGCTAATCTTTAATTTTGTAACCGATAGGTCAGTTAAAACTATAAGTACAAATCAGTTAAATCAGTGAAAGTTTATACATACACAAGCTAATGTTAAGTTTTAGATGCGTATAATCTTATCGCTTTTAATAATAGTAATCATGATCATTATATATATAACAGTAGTAGTATAATGTAGTAAAAGGTGCGTACTATAAAAAAAAAGAGAGACTACGTACTGAATCGTGGGTTCTTTTTTCTGATGATAATAACGGATATAAATACCCGTCTCCGCATAACCAGGATCGTGGTTAAAATGTTGATAAGTAGAGATGTTGTTAGAGTAGAGTTGAAAAAAAAAAAGTAAGAAATTGATATGAATATTACCTGGATATTGGTAAGAAAGTTTTTCATTTATTTAACAAAAAGAGCTCTCCTTGTTGGATTTATATTATGGCGATTACTCAAATGGCAATTACTCATCTGTTATTTACTCGACAATAACAATATACTTTTTTTCAATGTGAATAGATTCTAAATATAAAGAATTTCTATCTTTAGATGCAAATGTATGTGAGTAATTGAATCTTTTCCTACTGCTGCTTAAATTATCACTATACATATTCTAATTTGGTTAAAAATCCTTCAATAGTTAGCAACTATGTCTAGTGGCTAAAAACCTCGTCTTCATACAATATGTCCCAAACCGACTATATCAAACCTCATTATAAAATGGCAAAGAAAAATTAAAAACTTCAATAATCTGAAACATACTATGAAAAGTTAGAACATATGATCAAAATAATGAATCATGCAATATGAACAATAAAAATTAAAAAAATAATGTAGTTATAAATAAATAAAAAAAAAAAAAAAGAGAAATAAAAGCTAACGTAGTTCCGCAATAAAAAACTTGCTCATGATTAATTTTCTCAAAAATCAAAAATGTTGTACCTTTTGGTTCAAGTTAATGAAAGCATTAAATTTATTATTTCTAAATGTGTAATGAGTATAGAGCCTACGAATAATCAATTTTTTGATCTTTTTGACACAATTGCGTTAGAACAATATAAATATGATAATAGAGAAGTAAAAGATTTATTAGGCGGGAAAAATCTGAAGGTTGGCGAGAAGTAGATAATAGGTTAAGTGGTGACTTAACCATGCTAGAAGTTTTAGGTTTTACACAAGTTAAATTTTGTCTTGTTCCTAATATCAATTTAGATAAAACAGCTTTAATTCAAAATGAACCAGACGCTTTTAATATTCTGATGGAAAATTCCAAACAACCTTTACTTCCTCAACATTGTAATGAGCATAACAATTATAACAAACTTTATAATGAAATTATTGATTTTTTTCGAGCTCAACAAGTTGGTTAGACAGGTGTTTTACATAAAACAATAGAAAAGAGTTTATAAATCGTCTTGCAAGTGCTCTTTGGTATATTGATCCACACCTTTCAACATTGAATGCACGTTCATACCATCTGCCAGCCCTTTTTACACAATTGAAAACGTATCAAGATGGCAAATCATATAACAAGTATTATTATACTGGTCATCATAAAAAAACTACTTTCTTAGCAAAAACTCTCACACCTTTCAAGCTCTCTTAAGCTTTCTATTAGTCAACCTTGGGCGAGTGGCAGTATATGGAACAAAATAATGCCCGCAATTATTTCTTTAATTGACATTTTAAAAAATTATTCTGATTATTTAATTACAACCACTGCTGATATGAATATAATTCATTACAGTGATGAAAGTGCTCATAGTCCTGAAAACAACAGTACAATATACCAAATTGCTGCTTGCAAGCATGATAAACTTAAAGATAATTATATTGAGTTAGATGATTATCTATTTGAAAAGTCATTTTATAAACATTTTGATATTCAACAATTTCTTCTAAAGAATGTTATGAAACGGTATCGGTTTATTAAAGAGTTGCAGCTTACATTTCCAATTGGTGTATATAGGTCAGTATTCGAGTCTTGGCTATAAACATCATATAATATTATTGTGTATCGCCAAAAGAAAAAGAAATATTATTTTTCGCTTGATGGCAATATAAAACGTAATTTTACAGTATATATTTTTATCTTATAAAATACTTATTTTTTTTAGGTATTATCAGGGTAATTACTTGAGAACAATTAATTATGTATAGAGGATCCCAGAAGCAGAAACGTTTAATGATAGACAAGATGAAATGTTAAAAGCCGTATGTTGGCTAGGATTCATGAAGAATTGCCTCGTTATTTTACGCGACAAATACAAAAGAATATGCTTGACAAAGTATGATAATATAACTGATATTTAATAATAGATTAATATATATTAACATATATTCATTTCTTATATTGTAGTATTCCTATATCCAGAAAGTCACACCTGCAATATTACAAATGCTTCATTTTGATCTTACTGGTAATGCTGCTGTAACTCCAAGTGCAATCAGTCGTGATGTAGAAGAAAGACTACGATTAATATTAACCTTGGCATATCCTAATATCATATTCGATTTGCGAACAAACAATGGATTTAAAGGAACAAAGTTTAATATATTTTGGGATGAAACAAATGCATATTTTAATGAGCAGGTAGGATTTGTTATATTATTATTATTATTATTATTATTATTATTATTATTATTATTATTATTATTATTATTATTATTATTATTATTA